ATACTGATATCGTACTGAGGAACACAACCAGTCACAATGAATGGTGTAGGATGTAGGAAGGTGAAATAGTGAGTTTGTCAGTGAATGCTAAGGGTCCGTTGCACACAGCACCTTGTCACAAACAACCATGAGGTGAATGACTGGGGGATTGTCGGCCAGGAAAATGGAGAAACCTTTCTGGAATGGAACTGATCAACCAAACAGAAGCTCTTGTAGATAAGAGGAACCAACGACAAAGCAACTGCGTTAATAAAAGAGGAAACGTTCTGCAGCCCCCAAATCCTGTTTGAGATTAAGTGTGAGTGCCTCAGTGTCACAAAGGGTAGCAGAGGGAGAGCTCATCATTTTCATTATCGACTAGAAAATAATATGAATTTGTCATGTCTCTATTCAGACCAAATTCAGTTGGAGTCTTGCAAAAGTCTTGCAGAAGTGCTCTAAAGTCTTGCAAACTGCAGAGCATTTCTGGTTCAATTTGTAAACAATTTCATATACATTTATGCTGGGACAAATCAGTCATTCAATTCTTGTCAGGATAAAGAGACTAGCATTGAGTTGTAATGATGAGGGGGAAGGGGAGATGCTACACGCCTCTACCACTGCGGCAACTCTGTGCACACTCTCATGGATAATTAGTGGATTAATGCTGAGAGTTCTGGCTGAATTTACACCGCAGTTTGATGATATTTGACAAATCAATGTGATAAGATACAAGGATCTTACAGATATAATCTGAAAAACCTATGTTCGGAAACTGTCCATCATGTAAGCTCTTTCTGCCACGGACTGTGCCCTGTGGAATATTTTACTGCTTGAGTGCCTTATGACTAATGATCATCGGAGAGAACATTGAAGGCGCCAGTGCTACAGTGCTGAATAGAACAGCTGTGTGAGCAGTATTATCTTTTTTCTTAACAAACTTAACAAGCTAGCAGTAGTCATTTAAATTTGCTGTACATTGGTAGCATTGTGGCTATTAAAGATGATATTCATACAAATTTATTCAAAGTAATAAACTCAGGTCCTATCAGGCAATGGTTCGCAGCACAAAAAATGTTTTTAATTCAGTACTAATTGGCAATCTCATTTGGATAGTCCACACAATAGCTGATGTGGGTAATGGAAAATGTCACACTGGTGCAGTTGGAGTACTCTTGTGAGATTGGGACTGAGGTGTATTTTGGGGGTACAGTGGAATGAGGCTTTCTCTTAAATAATTGTATTTTGTATTTGAACTGGAAGAGCTTCATAACAACAATGGGCGTCTCCAATGTGAAGGTGTTCCAAGCCATTTCCAGGTTCCATAAGCCTGCCACTCCCCCGCTGAGCTCCACTGGCTTCTCAATCCCCAGCGGATTCAGTTCAAGACCCTCATTCTCATGTTCAAATCCTTCCATAATCTTGCCCCACCCTACCTCTGCATCAATTTTTTCTGAAGTATTAGTTGTTAGACTAATTTGAGATTGATCACTTCTCACAATCCATCCAATTACCCAAATACTTAAATGTTAAAACAAAATAGTTTTAACAGGCAATGGCCTTTGTTGCTTTATTTTGTTAGAAGGAAAACAATTTGTATCTGTGTGAAAGATGCTGTATATATGCTAGTTGTTGTTGTTTTTCTCTATTTACAGAAAATAGGGGTAACATGCTCTATTGCCTTAGAATGGGGGAAAAATTCCACTCAGAGATTAGGGTTAACAGTCATGTCACACATCATTGGTAAACAGATGCATTCGCTTTCCTGTTACGTTTGAAGTCAGAAGCTACGCCACACAACCAGTTGTGAAACATGGGTTACAAAACAGTGGATGTAACCTGCGATTGAAGTGGGGTGAAATGAGAACAAATCTGCAGAAACACTACTTCGGTGAGTGAGTGGTAAACTTACGGAACAGGCTCTCTATGAAGACAGTGGAAGCAGAGAGAGTATCAATTGTTTAAAGAACAAATTAGATAGATTTCTGCTCAAAGATAATGTCTTGGGATACAGTGTATAGTTTGGGACATGACATGTCAAGCGACTGCCAGGATGGTGGAAGGTGAACTAGATGGTCCTTGATCTTCTTTCGCCTAGCAAATTCTTATGTTCTTATTTCAAGACAGAGATTTGAAAAATAAAGTGCAGCGAAACATTTTTAAGATTGAAAACACTTCACAACCCGATCACTGAACAAAGTGCAAAAAACAATTTTACATCTTACAAAATTTCAGGATAAACACATCCATGAATGTTACAATAAATCATTGTGCTGGACAATACAAACCAAACTACAAATTCTCAACAGATAAGTAATATCTTGGTACAAAACAGAAATAAGCACACCTTTATAGGGCCTAATTTCCCCTTTACAGGCACTGGTGCTATTTGCGGGGTGAAATTAAATTGTATGATAGTGTAAAATTGTAGCTACTTTGTTGTGCATGGTATGTAGGAGTAACCAAGTGAATCATTCATCAAGTGCCCATTCGATAACTGGCTGGTAAGATTGAATGCAGAGTCCAAGCCCTGAAGTATTTCAAATCCCAAACTGCCTTTACATCAATATGTGCATTGCAATGTTGCTGATAACAAATTGCCAACTTCTTTACCAGAACAGAGATTACTTGTATGAAAATAGGAAATAATCTGCTTTCCTGTTCCATTTAACAAGCACCAGTCAAGTGGGCAAAAAGTAAACTGATGGTGTTATGTTGGCCGCCTTCGCACCAGCACGCAGATCAGCAATTCTTCCAAGTCATGCATCAGGCATTCTGGAAAGGAAGGAGATCACTGCGCTCACAATGTTACATTAGCTTTTTTTGTGCTATCGGCAGGTGCCAAACCTTTCTGCACCAACGAAAATAATTTTGCACCGTAAGTTTTCTTCCAAAAGGGGAAATTCAGGCCTGAGGTTTGCAAACTGCAGCCAGTTTGTCGCCATGGAATGTCAGATATGTGCCTTGACATTTGTAAACTTTGAATGTGTATCGTCCTTGTAGTAAAATAAATATTAAGTTATCAAGTTACACAATAGTCAATTATTTCCACTAATACTGGATATGGAAGTTTCAGAGGACCATTTGCCAGAGCAGTTCTTTAGTTATTCCACTAACAAATACAATAGTGGATGTCATCTTCAGAGAAAGGTAAAATAATTCTCACCTCATTTTAATTCTCATTCATTCACTGTTAAAAACCCTGTGGCGTTTTCTCCATATCCATTGTGATGACCATAACCAGGCACATCTTACCATATCCATTTTAAGTTTAAGATATGAATGGTGCAGTATCCAGTCCATGGGCAGAGCACAGGGATCTCAGATATAGGCTTGTGAAATCCAGGCCAGTGTTACGAGTAGCACCTTTGGCATTGTCAGTCACTGCTAAGATTTCCCCATTATAATCGTGCATCACCAAAGGCGCAAAACGTAATATTGTCCAGAATTTCATGCCAGAGGTATGTTACAGCAATTACTACTCACCAGTCCAACACATACAATGCTAAAATAATTTCTCAGGAACGCAATGCGCACACACGTGGAGCACCAGGAATCATCACATACTCAATACAGACACAGATTTATTCACTTGTGTAAATGCCTTAGAGTAAACCAAAACTAAATGTGTTTTGTTTTGCAAGATTGCAAAATTGAATTGAAAATAGGGGAAGTTTGCCAAGTCTCAATTTTCAACACTTCCAAAAAAATTACGATCCCTTTTTGACCTTAGGCATCTATAATTTCCCCCAGATAAAAGAAAAAATCACTCTTAATAGATTTTGTAGCTTACGTTTTGCATTTTAGGCTGGAAGTTATACAATTCATTTTTTTTCACATCCAAAGTCTATAAATAAGATACATCTTTTATCGAAACTAGTCCTGTGTTTTGAATATATCCTGGACATGGATCTGTTTATTGAATAGACCACAGAATTTAAAATTTTCTAGTGATAAATATAAGAGCTGGCTGGCTTATGGACCAGCATGTGATCAAATCTCAGTTATTAATATTACTGATTTATATTAATTCCGGGACCTCCCGACATGAAAGACGTTATATAAATATATGTTTGTTGTTGTTGAGTTTAGAGATCTTTTTACATAATTGAGTATCCTTATAATAAAACATAGTGAGGAATGTTCATGCATATTTCTTCCTTTAATTGTGAATTGTAATTTCAGTGATTAAACACTACCCTGATTGAAGCGTGCTATACAAGTTGTTGTCGTTGTCACATCCACCTCTCTCCTTTTATAAAATCTCTCGTAGAAAAAAATTGGCTGTTCAAATATTTAGTTTTACAATTAAACTTCAGAAAATGAATGTGCTTTGTAAGTTTAAGGAAAACCAATGGTTGAAGGAATAACAAAACTTAATACGATGATGCAAACAGTGGAGAAAACGTGAATATTTATAATAAGCCTTGTATTTTATATAACGTCTTCTCATGTCGTTGAAACATCTCAAAGCACTTCACTTTAATATAAAGTGTAGTGACTGTGTATTTTCAGTGAATGTGAGTACTAACACTCCTGCTCCTGTTAATAACATTTATTTAATTCAATTGCTTTTGTTATATTTGCAAATGTGTTAAATCGGCCAATCAAAGCAAATGTTTGCCAGAACAGAATAATGGAATAATTGGAGCAAGATGTAGCTCTTTAAGACACATGCTGAGACATTTACTGGAGAAGAGGTCTGACTACTCAAACTCACAAAAGCTACGTATTTCTACAAACAAAATAACCCGATTTTCTTAATACTGATTCTTTCATTGAAAATATCCTTTTATAATCAATGGTTTGGATCTACAATCAATTGTGACTTGCAAAATGTTTTGGTGCTCCTTTCTATTTGAGAGCCCCATTTCAACCAACTCTCCATTAATCCCATTCCAACCTATTTATTACAGTAGCATCATAAATGGCATCACTTTTTCAACAGCTGCCTCGGTTTGTATTTTTACATCTACAAAACATTTTGCATTTATTCCCATGAGATGAACGACAGTGTATTAATTTTATTGTTGGGTGATCCATATACTAATACTCCTGATAATCAGCCATTCCTTCTGGCTTTCTGTTACCAGAATGCGAATACAGTCAATGTCAAATTCAACTTTGTGACCAATGTCTCGAATCTCAATCTTCCCGTGTTGAAATTGTCCTAATGGCGTGTAGCTGGAGCACTGTTTTCCCTTTTTTGTCACCACCACATTGTGACCAACCTCTAATGCTCCATGATGCAAAATGTCATTTTGTCTCTCGTCTGTCCCTGTTTCGATTTTCAGTTTGTCAATTTTAGCAGGTTTCTCAAGCACAATAGCGAAGTAATTCCCAGCCGAAGTAGATTTCCCCCAAAAATATTCATCCACACTGCTGTATGCTTTACCAGGGTCATAATGTTCAAACACATTCATGTTGGTGTAAAGAGTCGCAGGGGGATTGTCGGGAATATCAAAGGAATCTTCTTCAAAATCGTCATCCTTGAGTTTATTTTCCATTCCTCTGAATGACGAGTAGTATCCCATATGCTGAAATAACGAAGGTTTGAATCGTATAACATCCTTCTGGGCAAGTAAGCCTTGGAAATGAATTAGGAGCCAGTCACATGGCATTTCCTGATAAAACATTAATAAAAATTGTCCCAACCGTGAGAGATCACGAGAGTGGTATAGTTTTCCAATGTATCCCAACTTTGAAAACTCTAATGTTACCCAATAGGAACCTTCTCTTGAGGTAATTACTTTTTTAATGGCAGAGAGAAAGTTTCTAGAGCAGCGTATATCATCCTCCAGCATGACATAATAGTTTGATAAATTGCCACAGAAATTAAGTAGAAAAGCATAATCTATATTCTGTTTAGATCGAAATCTGACGCGGTCCTCTGGATCGTTATAATTTCTTTTGAGACCATCCAAACTGGGATAATGCTCCTCAGGAGTGTGGATAACTATTAAACGACCAGAAATGATGTGATGGGCAAATTTTCTGGAGATGCCTTGGACAATATTTTCGCACCACAAGAGGTCAAACTCTGCCAAATGTACGACCACCACAATTTCGTTTAGCTCTTCATAACTAGATTGATCAAAAATAGATTTAATAGTTTCCAACAGATAATTCCCTCTTTTCCTTTTCACGGATGACAGTCCTATTGTGAGATATCCTGCATGGAAAACAAGAGAAGAAAATAGAAAATTCTAAATCACATTTCACTCAAAGCATGCTTCTGAAACTTTTAGACAATAAGGATTACTCTTGAAGTTACAAAAGAGAATCAAACTCACTTTTTCTTGGTATAGGAAAACCAGCAAGGTAGCGATATGTTACATTAATTGCTCCTGAAAAGTTAGTCAAATCTTTGAACGTATGAACGTATTTTTCTGAATTAAGTTGATGGGAAGTTAATTCTCTTGCCACTCTTTGTTCTCCTTCCTAAATAATAAGAAATATAACATGGTCAAAGCAAAAGCCACATACGTTTAGAAAAAAGTGGTGCATGTTGTTCACAATGACCAGTAACACTTGACCCTTAAATTTCTTTTTTCTCTTCAAAGTTCAATTGTACAGCGTCTAATTCAAAATAAATTCAGACCTCCTCTTTATACGTAAAATCTTTCACAACCCTGACATATGGGGAAAACTCTTTGTAGCACATTCAACTGAGTCCAATATTCCTAGATCCTGAGATATAAGTTGGTTGCAAAAATATGGCTAACTTCTAGGTTGTCAGGTTGCTGCTGGTGTACTTCCTGTGCATTGCACAGATCTACAGGAAGTGTTGCTAACATCATTTCCTGCACACTGTCCATGCACATGATATGCAAATAGTGACATTTGTTACATTCTCTACGCACGATGTACAGGAAATGACATCAACTATGACCTGTGGACTTAGAAGTCGGACTTTTAGTGGGAGCCCAACTAGTCAGTCCCAGAAGCCGTGTGTGTTATTTTCCAGTCTGCATTGGTTTACAGTAAAGTATCATATATTGAGGGGCACAATAACATAGCTTCCTTTGCATCACAGTATGAAACAGCATGTAGATATCGGCATGAAATGGGTGTAAGCATAATGCGTGGATGTCTTAACTGGGAGACTTGATTGCAACATTAATATGTGTTGCCTTTCTCTAAACAACACCTGGTTTCACATTGGAGACTAGTGCGCGGATTGGGTTAACAATTAATGTGCAAAACTGATGGGTACATTTTAATGATGTAGTTGACAACCAATATAAAGGATTATAGAGTCACCAATAGTTCTATTCATTGGTAATCAAATGCATCCTTTGTACGGATGCATTTGCAAATGATTAATCCAACCTGCTAATTTTGCACATGGGTTCTCAACCCAATTTGCAAATTAAGCTCCCATTATGAGCCTTTGGAGTTAGATTCAAAGGTTTATCATCTGCAGTGAATCATACACTGCAGATTTAAGAGGTAATATCTGGGGTATCCAAAATGAATCACATCGGAATTCAAGTGCAATACACCCAGCTTGGCATTTCCTTTGCATTTTCCTATTTACTTAATTCTTGTTTGGCAGCACGCCTCTAAATAGTATCCAGTAAAGTGTTACCCAGTTGAACTTGAATGAGATTGTTGGATGTTGTTGCTCACATGACAGAACTTTGAGGGAGACCATTCAGTCAGAGCCAAAGATCTCAGAGGAACAACTTCACGGTCAATTGAAATCACGATGAAAGAGAAACATTGCTGTTGCTCGGCAAACCACTGCTTCTATTGATCTCACTGGGCCCTCAAAATGAATAGACTGCATGAAACTTTCCCCCAAAACATCTCATTAGTTAACAATTTTAATACCGACTAACTGAGCTCTGTAAGATAGCAGAAGTTGTTGAAAAATAATTTTAACTGCAGAAAGTCAAATCAAGAAGTACGTGGCTGCAATTATCAGAGTCAGACAAGAAGATTCAAATAATTATGCCTGATGCCAAGTATTTGTTAACTCCTTACAGGAATAATCATTTAAGCCTTATTGTCTGTCTCTGCAATTTCTCTTTTGATCCATCAATATTTCTTTATTATGTCCTTGCTTAGGAGTCCAAGATGGATTTTTCATTCTCTGCAGACCTGACCAATGCTTTCAGTTGTAACACAATGTCCTAGGGCTATTTATTTCTCAGCCCTTTCCATATGGATCTCCTTCAGAATTATTATCTGGTAGATGAAACACGTGCAACTTCAGACCAAATGCATATTAAACTGTGTAATGATTGTAAGGAACTTGACCTCCCTGTCCCCTTATTTGGCAGGGATCTGGCTGAGTGTGTTTTGCAGTGTACACAGTCTCAGAAATGTTCATCTTGCACTCAGCAAGAAACTGATCCCAAGATAGGCTTTTTGAAACGTCATTCAAAGAAGGATTCCAATCTTGGACGCCTTTGAATCTCTGATCAGAGGCAATGTTAGGGAGTTATTTTCCTGCTAATTGCACATTCCAGCTTCAAAAGGTATAGTTTAAGCAGAACTAGGTGCTCTAAACGCATTTCACACGGCTATTAGTTACCACATTTCGAGAGTATGCTTCCTTCAGAACTATCTCACTAATTCTCAAATGGGCACCACTGCATTGTTTTCTTAGTTATGACTTAACCTGCTGATAGATTGCTTCTTCACTTCCTTCCAGATCAGATTTGACATTATCAAAATTCAGTTTAGCTCAGGGGACTCCTTTCTCAATACGCTTTCAAAGGAGAGTTTTCTGCCTATCGCCCAAGTCAGGGTAGGATCAACTAACAAATCCAATGAAAATCCTTAGGGGGTATAGTAATTGGTCTGTTCTCAGATTTCAGGTCCCACTTTGGCCATTATCTCCTTGCATGTTACACTTCGTAGCTAGCTTGTCTTCCAGGAGCCTTTAGACATCTATCATGTTTAGGATTATGTCCACTCTTCCTCTTTCTTGACACCAGTTTTCCCAGTCACAAGGGATTTAGCTGACCTTCAGGTTTTTGGTTGTCTTTTCATGCCTACTGAAAGTGTAGAGAGGCCTGTAGGATGTGGGTAATTTCATTTATTTCTTGGCTAACTTGATCATTCCTCCTGTTGAATTGCAGCCTTAGCTGTAAATCGTTTATCCTTTTCAACGCAGCCCTGGGAATTTAGGGTGTTACATTTCCATCTCCTCAGGATTTCAGGAAGCTGGCTCACACCATGGCCTCTGATAAGTTTGTCTTGGCAGAAAATGTAAGACACAGATTTTGACTCTTGACAGTGCTTGATTAGGGAATTCTCAGAGTCACAGTTCTGCTGCCATCAAATTATACTTTCAGCAAGCTGCTTCTCACGGGGGCACTACATATCAGCTATTTATTTATACAGCTGATTTCAAGCATTCTGCTAAGCTCTGCACCTTTGGATCTTGGATGACTTCCATGTTTGCTTCAGTCACAAGAGGATCCAGGTTCCAATTTTGTCTACTGCCCTTACAGTTTTCATATGGTCATGGGTTTTGCTGGAAAATTCCTATTACTAAGAAATTCTGCTTTGAAATAGTGGCTTTTAAGATTAATTTTAGGGAATCTGAATGACTTACGAAGCTGTCATTCACCTGAAAGTTTTCCGTTAAATGTATATGAATGCACAAAGAGTCTTCTCCTCAACACAATGACAAATTATCCTTCTTATCTTCAGCAATTGGGAAGCCCTTCTGAGGCCCCAAATTCTACCTAGTCTTGACAGTAAGACCATTTTGTCAAAACATTATAAGATTTTTCAGAATTATGGGAAAAATTCTTAACTCCAATTTTTATTCAGAATCTAATTTTCTGCAAATCTTAGAAAAGAGCCGACTTCCAAGTTAAGACTGAAATTAAGAAATTTCCACAATTTTGCACAATCTTAAATTTTAAGACAAAATTGTTTTATGAGCTAAAATCTATGTGGAATATCAAGCCTCTGGAATTTAGCTACCAATTTACTGACTACTGTTTTAAAGATATCTAATCAATAACATCCCAAACCGCCTTTCTCTAATCAATAACTTATCCCAAACCACCTTTCCTATTTGCTTAATGAGTCTATCAAGACAAATCTCAGCTGGAAGTGAATCCTTCTAAGGATAACTATTTCTGAAATCGCAAGACCAAAAGAATGTGGTCTATAATGCACCATGCCCAGGTGTAAAAGGCATGTGTTATTGTTACATCGATGGAGGCATTGATGCAAACTGAAGCAGCAACAATGGATAGCAGAAGGATCTTATGTCTTTTAACCAACAAAAACAATTTGCCCAAATACAATTAAAATATATTTTGAGTACTGTATATCTTTGACTCCTACCCCCACCCCCTCACTTTGTTCAAGGTCTGTCTTAAACCTACCTCTTTGGTCAACTTTCCCCTTCCCATCCCCACTTCACTTGACTCACCCACAACTCTGGTGCCAAGCCTGGATTATTAAACACTTTGGAATGCCCTCCCGAAGTGAAAGGAACTATATAAATGTAAATTTGTATTGTATTGAGTAATGTTGCGACTATTTAATTGGACTTGTCATGCAGGTAGAGAGGAGAGTTATCAATATACAGACAGCTTCATTAAAAATACTATCGGCTGTTGGAGAAATTATTCCTCTTTCGCTGCTTTTTCACTTTTTCCTTCAATAATTTAGGATTAGTCAGATTCCTCAGAGGAACAATTTTTTTNAAATAGCATGGGACTGATTTTTCTATCCATGTTTTGTGAGACTGCTAGCAACTGATATGAACGTGAAATATGCCTTTTGGTAGTGATTAACGGTGTTGGAGAAGTAAAATGATTCATGAGTAGACTGTTACACTGCATAAAAATTAGATAACCACTAGATCACAACTAGACGCAAAGCCAGTATCCAAAGGAGAAATACGGTTTATTGGTTTAGTTATTTAAAATAAAAAATGTAGAGATTTGATGTTCAGTGTGTTTTCAATCGGGCTCTCTGTTCCACCATTAGTGTCCAAATCCTCAGTCACATCACTCCTAACCTCCGAAATACCCTTCCTCTAGCCCTTCATTGTGTCTAGTATTGTGCCAAGTATTTGTTAACTCCTTACAGGAATAATCATTTAAGCCTTATTGTCTGTCTCTGCAATTTCTCTTTTGATCCATCAATATTTCTTTATTATGTCCTTGCTTAGGAGTAAATACCCTTCCTCTAGCCCTCTGTCTTTAAAATCTCTTTGGCTGCGCGTATGGTCACCTCACCCTTGTTCATCATCAGACCCAGTCATGTAGAGTGCTCAGAGATGTTATCCAACATGAAGGGCGCTGTTCAAATGCGAGTTGTTGTTGGTTAATGGGAGCTTACCAGTCTCTTATTAATAACGATAGCTGAAATAACCTACAACTTTTGCAAACATTTCATCAAATTCGCAAATCTTCCTGTAAAATACTGCAGGTATTTTATTGCCTCAGTCACGATATCTTAGCTTTAAAGAAGCTGAAACCCATCGTACCATGCTTAAGAGTATCCAAATCAAACTACTGACAGTTCCACACAAGTATAGAAATTTCCATGTGTCTGGAATGGAATGTGTACTCCATCCACAGAGGGACTCACCCTGCACACCTAAGCCTAGAAAGTCAAGGCACAGATTGCAAGAGTCAAGGTTTGGAGAGGGAGAGAACTCCAGGGTGTCTGTCGGGGTCCTGTTGAAATTTAACCAGAAACAACCGCGTAGGTCGCCATTACAATAATTGACAATTGCTTGCAATTTGTTTCAATTTACTTAATGCTTACTTTAAGATGACTGTGACCAAATGCTAGTTATTTCCTTTTATATTTTTATTCCTTACCATTACATATCTGTCATCTTCCATGTACAGATTCAGACAAAGGAGACAAATAACAAGGACAGCTAGCACTGGAATAGTTGAACGTTTCCGGAAGCATCGCATCTTCTCCAAACATTTCCAATACAGTCTCATCGTAAAACTCAGCATTTGAAGTTTCCTGCAAGAAAAGAAAATCATAACTTAATTTGTCCAACAGCCATTCAGGAGGATGTTAAAGATTTTATAGCACTACTGAAAAAGAGAAGGGAGTTTTTGCTGATGTCCTAGCCAATAATCCCATTCAAGGCTGTTTGTGGGACATTGCAGTGTGCAATTTAGCTGCCACATTCACCTACAAATACACAGTTACTACATTTCACAGTAAAAGCCCTGTGAAGGACTTTGAGACATCTCAACTATTTAACCAGGCACTATATCAAATGCAAGAAATATTATTATTATCATGATCGTTTACATTTGAAAGAGAATATTTTGGTCTTGTGAGCTCCAGGGTAGGTTCTGTGAATATGAACATTTCCCATTGATGAAGCTCACTTTTACAAAGATTTGATCTAAAATCATTTCGTTTGAAGAAATTCTCCATGAAGCTCTGAAGCGTTCCGTTCACTGAATAAAGGTCATTCTGATAGATTGTAATGATGTCAACTGGGGATTCCCTTGGAGCACGACTGCGCCCAGCTATTCCTGTCATTGTGTCGATGTTTATTCAGAACCACTGTGAGCAACTTTCATTGTTTTTTTAAGGAATCAAATATGTAACAGAAACTGGGATTAAAAAAAGAGCACTAAAAGAGATCAAAGAAGTGCAATTAAAATGCAAATAGATAGAATTTCTATTGGAAAAGATTCAGTATACGGCTTCACCTCGAAGAATGTAGTTAACATTTTCAGACCTTATCGCTGATTTTATTGTCTCCTTAAAATAATAATAATTCACTGGCTTGCTTATGCCATGTATGGCCTGAAGATAAATTGTATCTGGGTTTATGGAAAACAATTTCAAAGATTTTTAAATGTTTTCCAATGACTTACTTAACACTTCAGTCCCCAAACATCCACTGTATCGCCAAAAATACAAACCACCAGATGGCACCACAGTAACCAGAAAAATTCAAAGGTTCAGCACAATGTGCGAGTGAACATGAATATTTCTGTTTTAATTCAGTTCATCGTTTGTAAATGCAACTATTTGCACACGCTTATTTAAATGTGAAGACTGCAGCATGAGATTTTGTTTTAATAATGCGTCAATGTCTTCAATGGGGATCCAGCCAGGAGCATGTGAAAAAAATATACTGACTGTTCTGCTATATCTCTCAGTGAGCAATATTACAATGATTTCTGGAACCACATCTTTAATAAAACAAGCAGACACAAGTGTCGAATAAGCCCTGAATACACATCCTATGTCACCACTAAGCATGCTTTCCTAGATCAAAAACTATTTAGGAAATCTATTCTTCAGTGTGATGCTGCATCTTTAAGAATGTCTTATCAAATGCGCTTGAATGCACCCTGCTACAACTAAAGGAAGAATACAACTTTGCTGTCTTGCATTAACATCTCACATTTGAAAATGAATTCCATTAAAGATGCAGAATTGTTTCATTAACCTGTGCAAATTGAATTCCGACTAAGGGAAATTACCTTGGATCTTATGCTGGAACTGTCCCATCTCTTTATACCCTCTCTCTAATTCAGAAAAAATTATAAAGATTCTTCTTTTTTTTCAGAAACTGCAAAACAAAAGACTCCTCGTGTTTAACAAGCATTTATTCCTGGAGGTTCCTACATTATGCAGCAATGCGAAGTGAATAGAAAACCGTGACTTCAAAGAAATCAGCCTCTGCCAGTTAAAGTAGTCTTTCTTTCTTTCATGAGCAATCATCTTTTACATGAAATGTTCACTGCCCTGCACACATTATAAGCAATGCCAGCTGCCCTTGGTGAATGTGACAGGAATACAAACTTAGGGCTCTGATATTAAGCACGGGTCTGTTTTAAGTCGTGAAGATAACTCCATTTAACAGTAGGTCAAGTGAAATATCTAGAGATTATGAGCAAGTTAAACTGATATTTTTAATGTAAATGCTCATTCTGAATTGAAGCTTTTCATTCACAGGCTAAAGATTGTGCTTTTGCTATTCTGAAACTTTTTCTTAAAGGGAAATACCCAGTTGAATAGCCAAGATCCATCATGTAGCACATGTATATAGGTCAACTTCCTGCCTCCACCCTCCCAAATCCAACCCCCAGCTTCGGTGCAAACCTTGATTGTTGGGAATATCCTCCCAATGTGAAAGGCACTGAAATTACAATTTGTTGTTGTTGGAGGAAGAGGAATGGAAGACAAAGGGGTAAGGATTTTCAGAGTTTTGAGGTCTTAGGAAAATGGTGTGTTGTGTATTTTTTTATTTCAATGTGGCTGGGATGCTATCTCTTTCTAAATATCGAGCTCAGCTGTATGAAAATTTAAAATACAATCTTTGGCAAGACTTCACGTCATATGAGGCACCTTCCGTAGTACCGAGATGTCAGCCTGGCTCAGTCGATAGCACTCTTGCTTCTGAGTCAGAAGATAATAGGTTCAAGCCCCACATCTGGACTCTGAACTCATGTAATCCATGCACTGCTGCATTGTCAGTGGTATCATCCTTCGATGAGATATTAAACTCAAGTCTGTCTATTCAGGTGGAAGTTAAAGATCTCATTGCACGATTCAAAAATAGAAGGGAGTTTCTCCCCACTTCCTAGCTAACAATCTTCCAGAAAAAATTAGTCATTCACTGCATGGCTGTTTATGGGATATTGTTGTGTGCTAATTGCCTGCTGCATTTGCCTACAAATATTCAGTATTACACACTTTACAGTAAATTTGGTGAAAAGCTTGGAGACATTTTGATGATGTGATCAGGCTGTATCAAATGTAAGAATTATCATTATTACCTAGAGATTCACATTAGCACCTGTTCAGGCTCTAAGTTGAGACTTTTTGATAATTGGAATGATCTCATTAACTGATGAGACTGCACTGAGAATATCAGGAGTCCATATCTGAAGCTACTGAGAGATGTTGATCATGCACATGGCTCATAATTACTTACAGAACTAGAAATGTCATTTGAATTTCAAAGTAATAAACTTCCATGTTCCATTAAAAATGAATATTTGGAGATAGAAGGAATTATAAAATACTTACAATATTTAACTAACAATAATTGACATCAATTTAGACTATCACTGAGAGAAGGATCCAGTCTGAACCTTACATGCAATTTAATTTCCTCAGCTTCAAATATTATGAATAAACCCTTCGATTTACTGCTTTCCAGCCTTTGAGGGGGACGGGGTGGGGACAGGGTGGATGGTGGAGATGGGACACCATTAGATTAAAAATATAATTTACTTTGTTCTAAGAGGTTTATTACCTTTGATTTCATAAGCTTTCATGGTCCACCTTTAAAAGTATTTGATATGCAATATTTTTGTGCGCAGAATTTACATGAAAGCATTCAATTGGAAAGCTGGAAAGAGAAATGAGCAAAGCGGGGAGGGGTGGAGTTAAATGCATTCAAGCTGAATTCAGCCTGCTAAATAATTCATTAATCAATTTGCATTCATTTTTCAAATAAGGTTTTGAACAATTTTCGTGAATCATGAATAATTATATAGGATGTAATTATAAAGTTTTAATAAATCATCACAGCTGTGGTGCAGCAAAAAAATTAGTGTGAAAAAAAAATGTTAGTTTCTGTGTAATTTTTTAAAACGTTGGCTTTATAAACAATTAAGTTATGCTGATGTAACACTGAACCATTATAGGTTTTGGTAGACGTCATGAGAATTAAAGGCATGCATCAACTTCAACTGCTGGATGATGGCTCAGATGATAAAGGCACATCTTGGCATCGAACAGAGTCATACAGACTAAGATGATTATTGGAATGAAACTCTTTTAAAATCTGTGATGGATGGGCTTTGAAAGTGGGGAGGGAGGGAGGCAGGGAGGGAGGGGGTAAATTCGAGGGAAACCAGGATAGGATTCCAGAGAGTGGAGGCAGATGGTTGAAAGATCACCTGCTGATGGTGAGATGGATACGGTGGGGGATGTGAGACAGAGATAAAGAGTTATTAAAGGGAGAAGAAGCAATTGGGATATAAAAAAAGAACTCCTTGGAGTTTGCTTCAGCAATAAAGGAGATATGAGAGCACAATACTATTTGTGATCAGAGGAGATAGTGAGACCAAGATTATCAATGATGGACTAAGGTGAAGTCATCAACGTCGGGAAGTAATAAATGGCTCTTGCTTGGATTTGATAAACATAAGAAATTGTCTTCAAATAATTCACAGAAACTTGATTTCATTGCCCCACCGAAGGGCACAGAGAAGATCAAGATTAAATGACTTAACATTGCACCGTAAGAGGAATGAAGGCTGTGTGCGACTGAGGGCATGCAATCTGAAGGAAGTTGATGAATACAGAGTAGAATTATCAACAACAGAATGGATAGCATTGGATGATGAGTTGAGGAGATCATCGATATGGAGAAAGAAAAGAGTGGGAGTAAGAACAGAGCCTTAGGGGAACAAGTAAAAATGAGTCAGAGTATGAACAATCAGCTGCCACAGAGTTTCTTATTGATGTGCCAGCTAACCTTCTGCTATATCCTCCTAGGTATTTAGAGATTTAGACTTTACAATCTCAGAATTCTGGGATAGGGTCAGTTGAATGGAATTAGCTTCTTCAGAGAATCCAAACTCAGATATTAGAGACATCCCCAATCACTATTACATTATTAAGGAAATCTTCCCATCCTCTCAGGTATTCATTTTCAAAGATCTGTTCCACTTAGGAACAGTTTAGTCTTTGTTTCTTTGCTGTTGAAACCTAAATGTCCTGTTTGCTAAATATTCTTTGATATTTCAAAATGCGGGAGATCTGTCGATCGCTTGATCAGATTTAGTTTGAGCATAATTTTCATTCCGGGCTGCCAGATGGCCAGATTCTTAAAAGATCTTAAAGAGCACCGTTCTCAATAGATAGACTGTATTGCCAAATTCAAACGCTGACACAATAATAATAATACCTTTCATTTCAGGAGGATGTCTGAAACCACTTCACAGGATTTAGTTAACTGTAAAATGTATTGACTG